GACATCTGGTGTTGGTAAGTAAAATTAAATAGTTAAAAGTTTAAAATATTATTTTTTAGCATTAAATATTATTTTTATTTTGAATATATATTTAAACTTCTAGTTTCTATTTAGGATATATTACAAATTATAATATTGGATCGCTTGCAGAAACAGTTAATATATTACGTCAGTGGCCTTCAAATAATGATTTATTATATGCTGTTCATGAGAAATATCAGCAAGCTTAGAATTTTGTGAAAGTTCTTTTAATGGTTAAACAAGATCAATTGTTTAATGGTTTAAGTATTTTAGATGAAGAATTAAATTTATTCGATTATAGAAATAATAATTATTCTAGTAGTAGTTTGTCTCAAAGTAGTGATATATCAGATTCACATGCAATTGCAATAGTAGCAGATACTGTAGCTGATTTTAATTCAATAGATATTTGAGATAATAATGAAAAGGATTTAAAAGATGCACGTTATGAGTTGACTTTTTGCTATTAAATACAGATTCAAATAATCAAGATTTAGAATCAAATAAAAATTTTTATACAGGTGTTAGTAAATCTGAAGCTTTAAACATTCCATATTTAGTTAGTTTAAGAAAAAACTATGAAGCTTATAGTAGTCAACATATAGAACAAAGAATTATTCGTAAAATTTAATATTTTAATTATTCAAACTCTGTTTATCTGAATGTAGTAAGTAGTATAATTGCAAATTGTATATCAAATTCTGAAATATTACAAGATGAGAAGTTATATGAGATTCGGTAGAAAAATCGTTGTTATTTATCTGTATTATCAAGTACAAATACAAAAATTGGTAAGTGATTATAGTTATATAAAAATATCTAGTCTACTTATTAATAAGTTATTGTTAAAATTTAGATTTGAGTAGAATTATAGTTGCTAATATTGAAGAACATAATCCTCTTCACAAACTTGGTTATGGGTTTGCTTATATTAATTATAAGCTTTGTTTCATATAAGTCTTGGCATTCTATCAAAAAACTTCCAATTATCATTCTTATATACGTGGTGATGTGCTTAGCATAGATTCTTTATCTTATTTGTCAGTAAAAGTTTTTTTTCTCCTTCGAGATAATATTTTTTCATCTATATCTAATTCAGAACATATGATTTTTAGTCATATTAGTCCTAAATCTTTGATTATTTTCTTGGATTTGGTGATTTTATTGATATTAATACGCAACATAATTTAGTAACTATTTTTGGGCAGGCTTTAGATTTATATCGATTTTTTAATAAATATTCTACTAAAATTTGTTATGACTTATTAGATTCTAAAGCATAAAGAAATTAGATTCGCAAACATATATCTTTAGTAGATACATATTAAATAAATATGAAGGTATAGCATTAACCTTTATTGCAATAGCAAATTAATTTATTTCTAAACTAGCATATATTTACTCTTTTGAACAAATAAAAAAAACCCTCTGGCTAAATTAATTTTTATAAATTATTTATTCAAGATTTTAAAATAATTTTTAGTATTTTCTAAGCAAAAAGCTTAAAAATTCGGCAGACAGGTTATTTTTAGAGTTCTAAAAAAAAATATTTTTAAAATGTTTACTATAAACATTTAATATTTAAGTATCATAAAAAAAAACCTGTAATTCTTATTATATAAAGAATTGCAAAATTTTTTTGTAGTATTCATATTATGATAGAATGAATTGGTTAAATCTGATATACAGATTAAATCCAAGTTAATATAAAAAAAAGTACTATGTTAATGCGAGTTTTACAGGCCTATTGTATAGTATTTTATATATTGTTAAAATTAAATTTTTATCTAAATTTGATTTTTATTAATTTTTTGTAATAATATCATATTGTAATATAAGTTATATAGAAGCTTTGCTAGGAAAATCGCTCTTTGAGATTTTCCGATCGGGCTAATTCAGAAAAATTTAGACCGGATTACCGGTTCTTATTCACATGTTAATTGTCTTTTATTTTATTGATTCAATAGTTTATTTAAAAAAACTATTGAATCAATAAAGTATAGAATGATTATGTGTGAATAAAAACCAGTATTATGGTCTAAGTTTTTCTGCATTAGTCCAATCGGAAAATCTTGAAGGCCGATTTTTCTAGCAAAAATCTCATATGATTAAATTGAACAAATAAATTACTAATTATAAAGTACAATACTTAAAGAAGTCAAAATTAAACTTCTTAAAGTAGACAAAATGCCAGAAAATTTATTAATAACTTAACTCCCACCTCAATTAATATTATCTGGGGTTCTATTTAGCTACTCTAATAGATGTTCAAACTAAAAATAATATTTAATGCTAAAAAATAATATTTTAAACTTTTAACTATTTAATTTTACTTACCAACACCAGATGTC